TTTTCAAAATACAGTCTATACTGTTCATAAATATCAAGGCAAGACGTAACCAAGACAGGGACCAAGATAGCAGTACTTGGCTGTAAGAAAAAAAGAAACCAGGAGCAAGTGTTCGTAGGTTGCATTCCAATTTCAGCAGGTGCTTCCTGAAAGGCCTGACACTAGATCCACAGTAAGACGTCAGCTGATGAACAACTGCAGTACTGCTCAGGACTTGGAGTACAAGCATTTGTAATATCCGTCAGCTGCATTCACAAACAGCAAAGCTTACTATCTTGACCGTGACAATGTTCAATTACAGTGTGTATAAATATACGTGCACCTTCATTACATTTTTGTCTCCTTCCAGACACTTTACTCCTTCATGGAGTCAGATACTCTTTTAGGTGTAAGCCTTACAATTACAGCACTGAAAGCTATTCTTGCCATCAGTGACACAGAATCATAGAATGTCTCAAGTTAGAAGGGACCCATAAGGATCACTGATTTTGACTCCCTAATGATGATATTCTATCTGCTCATCTTATCACTAAAAAATTGTGACCCTCAACCCTGATCTAAACTTGCAACAAGAGCCCAGAGCTCAGCTGATTAGAAGTTGAGTTCACAGCAGCCACAGCTTAGAAGGTCCAGAGGATCTAAGCCATTATTTATTTATGTTTGATTTTGAGCCAAATTTAGATAAGCAGCAAGAGGAGCAGGACACCTTCTAGATCTTCTGTTTCATTTATACCTCCTACATAAAGGAGAATTTCCTGGGGACACTTACCAATAAAGGAAGGCTGGAATAAGGTTTCAGGGCAGCGGAAACGTTCGTTACCAATTGTGATCACTTGCCCATCAGGCAATTCATAGCTCTTTTCCAGAGAGGAGGAAGAGGCAGCAGTGGCCATTTCATTCTCAAAGTCCAGAGCAACATAGCACAACTTCTCCTTGATATCACGAACAATCTCACGTTCAGCTGCAGATAGATGGGAAATAAATCAAGGTTTGAATAAGCAAAATACTAGCGGAAGAAGATGGGCCAAGAGAGACATGAGGATTTTCACAGGAGGGTAAAGCTGAAGGACTGACCTGTTGTCACAAAGGAGTAGCCACGCTCTGTGAGGATCTTCATGAGGTAGTCAGTCAGATCCCTGCCAGCCAGATCCAGACGCATGATAGCATGAGGCAAAGCGTAACCTTCATAAATAGGTACATTGTGGGTGACGCCATCGCCAGAGTCAAGAACAATACCTGGGAGAGAAATGTCAGAGAGCAGTTGGAATCACCTAGAAAATGCTTAGAGCCCTCAGGTACAGTAAGCAGCAACAGACATCACAAAATATGGTATTTTTCAGGCATCTATCAGCGTCATTCTATTTTAGCCATAAAGATCTTTCACATTCCTTCCACCTTTGCTTGTATGGACATTCCTGTTTGGTATGAACTTTCCCTTAAAACAACTCTTCTGTACATATTGTAAGCTAATCCATAGGAGCAGTAACTACATTTGCAACAGTGATTGTCTTGATCTGATATGAGCATCTTTCAGGTCCAGTTGAAACTCTTAAACTGGCATAACACTTGTATAACTGCACTACAATCACAGGACTCTCTCCTTGTTTGTGTCATGACAAGTGGAAGGAGAGTCAGTGCCCCTCCAAAAGCAATGCACACAGGTCCACATTGTCCATGAACTACTTTGTAGGGGCTTTTCTGTTATTGTTATCATCAATCACTAAAAACTAAAAATACCTAGTTCTCTGTAAATTTGAATGAGTTACAGTTTGGTTTCTTCCCACTTGAAGCGGGAAGGAAGGAGAGTTCCTGAAGTGAAATATTTAAATAGTAGTTATTTGTTTATTTTACCTGTTGTACGACCAGAGGCATACAGGGACAGAACAGCCTGGATCGCCACGTACATAGCAGGTACGTTGAAGGTCTCAAACATTATCTGGGTCATCTTTTCACGATTAGCTTTAGGGTTCAAGGGGGCCTCTGTGAGCAAGGTAGGGTGTTCCTCAGGGGCCACACGGAGTTCATTGTAGAAGGTGTGGTGCCAGATCTTTTCCATGTCATCCCAGTTGGTGATGATGCCATGTTCAATGGGGTATTTCAAAGTGAGGATACCTCTTTTGCTCTGAGCTTCATCACCCACATAGGAATCTTTTTGACCCATACCAACCATAACACCCTAAGAGAGGAAAATACAGAAAAGCATTATTTGAGGGAGTCAACACCACAGAGCTCAAACTATTACATCATAGGCAACCATGCTATTTACAAGAAAGGCACAAGCAGTCCCACCACTAAAAGGTTGTTTAGGAAAAGAAATTAGCATTATTAAAATAATAGGTCAACAGAATTTGAAGTTTACTCATAAAATCCTCTTTCCTTTAACCAGCGGAAAGGCTTTTGCCCCCCCCCCCCCCTTTCTTTTAATTGACATCTTATTTTCAACTACTTCTTTCTGGTCCAAAACTTTGACTGAAAACAAACTGCACAGTATCAGGAGCAGGAAAAGACAGAGACGTACAAAAAGACTTTCTGAACGAGAAGGTACAGAGGGAAATTAGGCTTCTAGTGAAGGAAGATACTCCATATTACTATGAAGCCTCAGCAAAACTTTATTCATGATAGCAAAATACAAATCACAGACACGTGGAAAAGTGTCACTTGTACCACTGCACGAAATGAGAAGGAAGGGCAGGACAGAAGAACGAAGGAGGGAAGCGGCTAGTGGAGGCAACTCCTGGAGAGAGGAGGAAGGCTCTGTCCTGCCGCGGTGCTGCCTCCGTATTTACCTGATGCCTGGGGCGGCCGACGATGGATGGGAATACGGCCCTAGGGGCATCATCCCCAGCAAAGCCCGCCTTGACCAGCCCCGAGCCGTTGTCGCACACCAGTGCAGTGGTTTCCTCGTCGTCACACATCTTCGGAGGGAGGCACGGATCTGAAAAACAACGTGGTGGCTTGTCCAGACCCCCGCGGACAGCCCCTCCCGCCCCCCACCCCAGGAGACACCAGCGGCGGCGGCGGACTGATGGCGGGAGCGGGGAATGCAGCTCGTCCAACCAGGATGCTCGATGGCTCAGCCACGATCTTGGGCAGGGCTTTAGACGGCATCCGTCCGCTGCTTCGAACTGCGCCCCAGCTTGCAAGACGCTCACTAGGGCACCATTAGCAGTGCCATCGGGCAGCAGGTTTAAACGGGAGGGGAAACTTTTGAAACCACAGAGATCGGTCCTGCCCGCAGCCCTTCACCGGCGGCGAGGCATCGTGCCCCGTCGGGCAGCGGCGGCTGGCGGGAGGCGGCCGGTGCCGCCGCAGAAGTCGAAGAGGTGCACGCCGCTAAGCCAGGAGGTGCACAGGCTGAATAGCTGCGGTAACTGCACCACCGACATCGGCTGCCCGCCGGTGTGTCCCGTCCCGTTCCATCCCATCCCATCTCATCCCATCCCATCCCATCCCATCCCGCCGCCCGACTCACCAGACCAGCACCGGCGGCGGGGGTACTGCGGAGGAGAGCCTGGGTACCGGCACTGCGGAGGCGCCCCAATTTATACGGGCCGAGGGGCCGCGCCGGCCTGTCCGCCGAGGGACGGGGCAGCCACCTTCTCCTTATTTGGTCGGCTCCGCGCCACTGAGCGGCCGCGCAGCCATGAATGGAGCCCGGCCAGCCCGGGCGCACGGCCCATGTAAGGCAGGCGCGGGGCAGCGCGCCCCCGGCCCGCCGCATGGCCAAATAGGGAGACCCGCGCACCCCTCGGGGACAGCGCCGACGGGGCGGGGGGCGGCCGGGCTCGGCTCGGCTCGGCTTGGCTCCCGCGACCCGGGGTGTCAATGCCCGGAAACGTGGCGCATAACGGCGGAGCCGGTGTGTCCGGGCGAGGTCAGGGGGAGCCGCACGGTGCTGATGCTGATGCTGCCCGGTGCCACCCGCCCCGGTGAGCGGTTTTCCACCGAAAATCAGCCGGTCGGGGCTGCTTTTCAGCCGGCGCCCCGTGGGGTTGCTTTGACACCAACAACTGAAATTCTCCCATTGAGTGGAGGCAGCATCTGGGGCCCGTGCTGCCCCAGGATGGAGCAGCGCACGCTCAGGCTCTCTCAAACTTTGAGGGGCATGAGCAGCAAAAATCCTGCTTGTCTCTGGTTTTGGATGACAACTGTAGCACAAACCGGTGTCTGCTCATTTATGTCAATACGCACACACTTAAACTCCCCTTTTTTTTTTTAATGTATCAGTAATGCGGGGTGACATGTATGGGATGGAGGATGAGAGATAAGGAATAGCCTGGGCAAAAACCACCTATGATATTAACGTAATGTGGCAGTTGTTTTCCTGCTCAGTTGCTGAAACATCCACATTGATAATTCGTTCCAGCAGTGGAACCTAGAAAATCCATGCATCTTCAGGATTTTTATTTATTTATTTATTTATTAAGTTAAAAATAGACTAAAGAGGCATCCCTTGTGTGGGCTTGGACTGGTATGTGAATGCAGAGACTGTCCACTTGTGTCCCTGAAGGACTGTATTATAACATGTAGTGCAGTGTCCTTCAGGAAATCAGCGTATAAACTGGCCAACATCCATCTGTGTAAAGTATAGCAGAGGAAAAAGCATTGAGGTTTGGGACAGAAGGGAAGGGTGGGATGTACAAATCAAGAGGGGAACACTAGGTAAACTGGATCAACAGCTTAAGTTCCAGCTTATTAGATGGCAGCCATCACACACTTATATACATCTTCAACGAGGTGGAACAAAAGAGCTTGTGAATGCAATCCAGCCTCAGTTCGGAGGCTCTGGTGGGTGCTGGTGTAAGAGCTATCCTTGCGCTGTGGTTTGGCTCTGACAAAGGCGGCCAGAAGTGGAAGTCGCCGGCTACTCATTTCTAAACTGTATCTAAAGGGGGCGTCAGAGACCCTTCGACTTTTAATTTCTTCTGAAATTGGAGATAGCGGTATCAGTTTCCTCCTTTCTAGAACAATTACTGGGTGGTTAGCTCCACCCCAGGCGCAGTTTATCTGGACGTTGTGCCCTATTATGAGCTCAACTCTGAAGCAGATGTAGCAACAAATTTCTTGGCCATTGACAGCTTCTGCTTTTCTTTAAATGCCTTGAGGAGAAACAACCTGTTTCAGGTGAGAGACTATTTGTGTGTAAAGGTGTGTGTATGTATATTTCATACGTGTGTATATATATAAAAATATGCACATATCTGTTATATATGCATGTATATATCTGTGTATATATACATACGTTTGTATTACATTTTTTTTCTTAGCTACCTAAGAAAAGAAGGTGAAATACAGCGACCTCAAAAGGTCAAAGCAGGGAAAAACAGTGCTTCAGTGCCTCTGCTTTGGACAAATTTTGGCTCTTTGTTTTCCTGGTATTGATGAATACGTTACCATATGCTGCTTTCAAAAAAAAAAAAAAAACAAGTCAGCATCTCTTACTCCATGGTAAGTTGCCATACAAAACTTAAATCTGCTTCTTTTTTTCCGTAGAACATCTTTGCTCAGAAACCCTCTAATGTGAGGGATTGGCCAGCTTCTCCGGCACTAGAGATTGCTTTACAGTGTTATCTCAGCTGTTCCTCGGCTCAGAGGTGTTACAGTATTTACATAGAAGCCCGCTGCTGATAGCTGCATTGGATTCCTCCCCAGTCAGACTCTCCCTGTCACATCCTACATTCCCTTTGGCTAGAGAGGCAGACACTGCTGGAACTGAGACAAAGCCAGCTCCTGCTGCAAAATCTACACTGAACAGTCTGTATTTTCTTGCTTACTTCGTAAAAAAAATACTGGCTTTTTCTACTCTTTCCTCAAATTTTAAATTTCCAGGACTCACTTATAGGATCCTGGTAGACATGAGAGTTTATCAATCCACACGCACCCCTGGTACATTACAGGGTCAAATGAGAAGGGCACCACACAATGTATCTAAGTCCCAAATTACATCTGTTTCCTTGTAGCAACTCAAAAAGTACCCAGCTAATGTTATTCTGTTGGCCAAATCATTCTGCTTTCTGCATTAAAACAATATTACAGCCTCAAATAAACCAAGCAAGCAAAGAAGCAAAACCCTACTGAAGTACATTATGCAATGTCATCTACAGGGAAAATACTCCAGCATCTGACTGGTCAGTGTCCCTGAATGCTGTGTACGTCTCATGACTTAGCTATTGGAGTGACCCCGGAGACAATGGAAATGAAGGCAGTATGGAGTGTCAGGAGAGCAGAGAGATCTGCAGTGGACATGATCTGTGTGTGCCACAGAACAGCCTGAACACACAGGAGCATGTAGCCTCAGTGTGTACGCAATATTAATGGGGTAGTAAAATAATTTATGTATGTGTGGCACATGCCCACGGGTAAAAATGGACATGTTATTCAACCAACAAATTGCTGCTGTGACTGCAGCCAAAATTAGAACAGTTCTTGCCTCTGCATGGTTAAAATGTGAATTTAAAAAAGACACTGTGATCTTATGATGACCAGAAATCCTCATAACTGCTTCTCAGCTGTAAATGAAAAACATTCAGCTTAAAAATAAAGCTTTGATTCTTCAAAACCCGTAAAGCATAGAACACTTGTTACCAGTGACTTTAGATTATTTACAGTACTTAACATTGCATTCAGAAATGAAAATGTGTAGGATCAGGTGGGCTATTTTTTTTTCCTTATCCTTTCAGATTATTCTTTTACTATGTGTACATGTTCCAATAAAACCAACAAACTTCTCATAATGCACCAAACCATTTCATGTACAGTATACACTTACCTAGCAGGTCTTAAAGCAGACAGCTGCTCACTTAAAATCTTCTATTTCTAAGCCCAATGAATTATGACATATAAAATCTGTCCTAGCACAGAGCCAAATGTTACCTCTCTTAAGCCTCAGGCCAGCATAATCTTCAGAAGAAATTTTACTTTTTCAAGAATAAGAAGCAAATGCCACTCTGACAGGTTTTCTTTTGTCTCACAGCAGCTGTTTGGAGTTATAAGGGCTTTAGAAATATAAGCAGCATTGCAGCAAAGTCGTATTGATGGGCAGGAGTCTTGATGAGATTGGAATGCCAAACATACAGTGTATGATGAATATCACTGTCACAAACGAGTCACTGTCACAAAGGAGGCATACTTGGTTATCTATGTCTGTTGTAGTTGTGAATCTGTCTCTGTGTTCATGCAGACATACAAAGAGAAGTCAGAAAAGACAGATCTGCAGTCACAACCAACCTGAAGTTGTTCCCTGTGAAAAGCTCTGCTACACTTTTCCAATTATATTTTGAGCCTCCCAAGTGAGAAATCCTTCTCCTGTACTACTAGAGGACAGCTTCCCAATTTAATAAACACACTGTCAGGAAAACTTCTCCAGAGAATTTATCAGGTATTTCCCTTTCTTAATTATGTCTCATTCAGCCTAGTAGTAGCCCATGTTTCACACTTAATACATTCCCTGTCTTCTCAGCATTTAAACCCTTCACATAGCTGCAGTCTGTTATTATCTCTGTGTCTTTTACTCACTCATGTACTGCTGCACATCTATAATTAACCTAAAACATCTTAAGTGTGTGCTGAAATGGTGGAATCATGAGGTGGCCATTGGGAGTTAGAGGTGCAGCTGCAACATCTTGTTATGAAGCTGAATTAGGCACAAGCAACGTAAGTGGAGAAGGTGAGTGGCAGCAAAAAAAATTGCACTTCTCAGTCTCCGAGTCTCCAGAACCATTATTTGCCACATGCCACTTACAGAGAAAGGCTGTGACTCTCACTCTGCAGCAGAAAGAGAGCTCAGAGAGTGCTGAGAGATCCTAAAAGCACTGCGCCTGCCAGGGAGGAATGCCTGGCTTCCAGAAGTGCTGTGTGTCTCTCGCAAGCCAGAGCATGGCAGGCACAACAGGATAGGACTCCAGCATTCCATACTGTGAAGATTACAGTCTGTTCTGAAATAAAAGGCAGCTAGGGGAAACGGCTACAATTTAAGGCTCCTCAGGCTGTCTTATGCACTGAGGGACATGGAGTAGTTAAAGAGGGCAGAAATAAGTCCTGAGCACTTTGGCTGTTGCCAGCATGTGTTTCAGTTGCCAGTCCTGTGCAGTGAGAGATACCTCCTGTACATTAGAAAGCTGATTGACAGTATTTCAGTCTCATTTCTACTGTTTCTTTGGGGGTTCTTCCCAGTTACAAAACACATCAGACCTAAATATCAGAAAAGGTGGAACATGAAAAACATCTTTGTGTATGCTTGTTCATTATCACACAATCATCATTTGATACTTGATGAATCTCTGGCTGCTAAAACAGTATCAATGAATAACAATTCCAAAAGCATAATTCCTAGATGTACCAGAGACAGTATGACACTATCTTATCTTAGGTATAATTTAAAAAACAGTGCTTAAGGCTAAATTCTGACCGGTTAAATTAAATTTGTGATTATTTTCATTTAAATTATATTTCCTTCTTGCATGTGAGTGTAAAAAGCCCAGATTTGCAGGAAGCATAATGAAATGACATGGGACTTCAGCATATATTTCATTAGTATATAAATTATCTAGATTAAGACCTAAATACTTAAAGATGACAAAGGAGAATAGTGAGAAAGAATGTAAGACACAAACTCAGAAATTTGCAGCCAAAGACAGTTCCTCACCCTGATTTATGTCTCACTCCAGTTTCAGTTTCCTCCAAGCTCACTTCACTCTTGTTTCTTTGCCATAGATTCTACATCTGACATGTTCTATAGAAAGATATCAGGACTTCATAGCTGTCCTGGGTTCAGCAGTAGCAGTCATTTTTCTCCTTCTTGGTAGCTGGTGTAGTGCAGTGTTTTGACTTTCAGCTCGGGAACAGAGCTGATAGCGATGTTTTGGTTTGGCCAAGGACTTTGTGAGCCTCATGCTCTGCCAGGGGGGAGGGGAAGCCGGGAGGAAGCAGAGACAGGACACCTGACCCAAACTGACCAAAGAGGTATTCCATACCACAGCACGTCATGCCCAGGAGGTAACTGGGAGATAGCCGGAAGGGCTGGGAGACGGCAGGGTTGGAGGAGGTATCGGTCGGAGCTTGGTCGGGCTTGGGGGCCGAGTTATTGGTCAGCTGGTGCTGAGGTGTTGTATTCTGTTCCCTTGTTATTTCCTTTATCATTATTATCATTGGTGGTAGCAGTAGTGATTTGTGTTATACCTTAGTTACTAAACTGTTCTTATCTCAACCCGTGGGAGTTGCATTCTTTTCAATTCTCCTCTCCATCCCTCCGAGAGCAGGGGGAGGGCAAGAAAGGGGGGGAAGTGAGCGAACGAATTACCTGACTGGGTTTAATCCACGACAATAGCCTATCTATGTATTGTTTTTCAAATTTAGCATCACAATTGGTACCAAAACAGTGCCATGAGCAGATGTATATCAGTTATAAATAGTGGTGTTTCTAGCACACTTCTGTAACCTTTCAGTTTAGTCTAGTTCTCTGTAAGCCCTTCTGCAACACCTCTGAGTCACAACCATCTGTAGTAATCCCTGTCGAAGTCTGTAAGGACTATTCAGAATGTTTCATTCTAGGAATTTCTTTTTTCCATTCTTTACTGCTTCTAATGTCCCCCTTTTCATCAATTTCCTTTACTTTTATGTTATTATCACTTTCACACTATTCTCTGTTTCATTACCTTCCTTCTGTTGTAATTCCCATCTTTGTCTTCTTCACTACATATCTGTAAGTTCTCCAGTGCTATATTCTCCAGTATACATACATGATTGTGTGCAGCCACCTATATGCAAAACCAGCAGACACCAACTCTGTGAAAAGGAATCAAACTGCTGAAGAGTTTTCTAGAGAAACAAGAAACATACCTTTCTTTTTTTTTTTTTTTTTTTCCCCCCAACTAGCATACATTTATAGGAAGATGAAATCTTAGCACTTGTATTTTGTCATTACTGGCCAGTCTTCTTATTTATACCCCACTGCATAACTTTGATCTTACCAACGTACATGAGCAGGAGTCTACCACAATGAGCGGGGTTCAATAATTTGAAACAAAAGGAATCTGAATCTACCAGCTGCTGCAAAGCGCCGTGTGAGTTTCCAGATTGTTTCTCAGCTGCTTTTTATTTTTCAGAATCAGAGACATATGCCTCATAATTACAAGAAAAGCAACAATGAAGCAGTCTACTCTAATTGCATTCTAGCTAGGGAATTAACTTTTAATAAAGGAAGCCATCAAATGCTGGCTTTTCTGTTAACCTGTCTACATGCATTCTCTTTTATTGCATGTTAAGGCAGGAGCTCCTACATTTCTTAATCTGTATAAACTAAACAGAGAGGGAAGTGTTGCTTTACAGATGAGAAGCTAAGATTCAGCAGGATGAAGTGACTGAACTTACGCTGGAAATTAGCAGTTCATGTAAGAATTGAATCCTACTTCTGAAGACCAGTTCCAGCTGGTGAATGAGAAGCATGTCATCGTTTCAAGTATGAGTACATAAAGGCTCTCTGAATCTATGGTGTACATAGAAACAGTTTGCTCTGCCACAATTGATAGACATACACTTCCAAAAAAATATCATTTACAAGATTCTACTGCTGATGGATTCTACTGCTGCTATTAGGAACATAAAGATATTTGATGAGTCTCATAAAAATGTGATGATTCCAATCCACAATTTTGCAAAGTTGTACAATGATTTCAATAAAAGCATCTCAGTTATTAACAAAGGAAGTAGCTGGACTATGATACATGGAGAAAACATTGCAGCAAGTGAATTCAAGGGCAGAATTGGAGGATGCTGAGACTGGCTTGTAACTTTCTGGCAAAATTATTTCTCTTACTAAAAACCCACAGATTCCTCAAACTACATTTTACCCCAGAAGTTTTGTACTCCTGTGATAGGGGCATTTCTGAGTTACCTGTAGAACAGAATGCTTGATTTCCAATGTATTGGAATACTTTATTCTAGTTACTGTCATCCTTAACATAGGAAGCCCTGTTACTGGCTCAGCCAACTTAGTAATTATGTATGCTTGACACAAAGATGTTTAAAAGTCAAATTTAATTTAGTGTTTTGTATAAAGCTGTTCAACATGCCCTGCAGATAAATAGCAAACAGCAACAATGTACCCTTCCAGTTAAAACATCTCTAAGACATAATTAAAATTTTTGTTTATTGTCATTCTTTCTGTAAAGAATGGCCAGAGAGAAATTGTCCTGAACTTGGGAGCAATTATCCATTGCAGGTGGGGATTTGAATCATTACAAAAACCTTGAAAACTTCTTCAAAAATTGAAAGGTTAAATGCATGTTTAGGAACAGGTAATCTACCTAAAATCTCTGTGATTCAAGATCAGAGGAAGTACCAGATTGCATCAGTAAAACCTCATTGGCAAAAGTTCATCATTTAAGTCAACTGGGAAAAATGTTTCTGAACACAGAGTTTTAATTTGTTGCCTTAAGCATAGTAAAAGTTCAGGGGGAAAAAAAAGGTCAATTTGATGGTTCATAAAGCAATTATTTTCCCATAAAATTTCTTCTAAAATAATACACAAAACACAACCAAAGACAGCCACAACAAAGAAAATCTCAATGTTTTCCTACTTTGCAAAATAGTATCAAAAATATCAGGCCATGCAGTTGCCCTCAGAGAAATTACTCTCATGATAAGCAAATGTTTCCCATTGCACAGTGTCTTGCATAGACCAAGGTATTGGATAAACATTTGACAAAGCTTGACATGCAGAAAAATTAAAATTCAGCATACTGCTTTCAGAATGAGAAAAAAAAGGCCCTCAAACAAGGAACTCAGCAAAAATCAGTAAAAAAGAGAAGTTAATTGCTGAGTGAGGTTGCCAAGTCTCAAATCAGCCATCCTGTGCAGAGAATAGGGGCACACAGATGGGCTGGCATTGACATTATTGTCCAATAGAGGTAGTGAGTGAGGACCAAGTTTTCTAAGGATTCAGACTATATTCAGGCTGACTGACGGAGTAAAGGGAAAAAAACGCCATGTTTATTTAACTTTGTTTAACCACATGACATTTGGACACTGTATCTGCCAGGGCACTGAGGGTACTACAGCCCTGACTGTCCCTACCTGTCTACCCTGGGACTCCCCTCACCCAGCCCACAGCCCAGGACTCCATGTTAGCCGTGTTCCTGACCCCCATCTGAACCTTGACTTCTCAGCCTATCCTTGTCATTATGGACCTGTTGCCTACCCATGGATCTGGACCATGTTCTGTAGATTGACTTCCCAGGCTGACATCAGACCTGCCTCATCACCATGATGTTGCCTTTTGATCTGGACTCTCGGCCGTCATCTCCAGACCTGTCCTGCTTGCCTCACTTGGGCACTGTGGGACTGCGACCTGGCTGGTGGGACACCTGTAGCCCTGCTGTCCCCTGCCTGCTGTGTTACCCATCAGGGGATCCCCCATTTGCTGTAGAGAGGCCATACCAAGAGCCTTCCTGCTGATGCTGCAGGCTGCACTACCTATTCATTGTTACTCTTTGCTTTTCTAGCCAATATGTTACTTGCCTCTGCTCCCTTCACCACCATTCACAGAGGCTTTACATAGGCATTGGATTAAAAAAAAGAAAGCAGATACCCAAGATACCTTCAGTCAAGTAGAGCTAGTAGATTGCAGAGTCAGGTTTCATCTCTTATTTTCTCTCCTTTTGCTTTTTCATGACCAGAAATACATGCAACAGAATGAGACAGAATTTTATCTGTTAAGCTTCAAAGGCATTATGGTGCTTAGAATGCTAAGAGCTGAATAGAGCATTAAACTTGTATTTCACATCCCAGCAGAGTACTCTAACCTCTAATCTGTAATAAAAATGAGAAGGAATATCCTCCTCTACCTCCATGTCCTTTTTTATGTCTAGGTGGCGCATAAAAAGAAAACTGACAAAAGAAACAATAAAGAGTAAGTCCTATTTAGCTTCTCAGGAAGAAAAGATGCTCACAATTTTTGCAAGGATTTTGGGTTCTGGCTTCCAAGCAAACAGAGGATCTACCTCCTAGCTTCTCCTGTTCAAGAACACTAACTCCAGAAAGGAATGAAGTTTCAGATACATTGCAGGATTTAGCGTTTCCTGTGTATTATCTCAATGTTCCAGTGCCTAAATAATCTCATGCATTTTAGGTGATACCCACACACCTATGCCAGTCGTATGCAAATTTTCTAGATTCCTGTCTGAGTGACAGGCAACTAAGAACTAGGTACTGCAGCAGCTCCAGCCTTCCTTACATTTGGCACATTACATATATATTTTTTAAAGTAGCAATTAAAATCCATGGTGCTTTCAAAAATTACACCATTTTAAAGGTAAAGACTTTTAATGCAGAATCTCTGGTGAAATGTAAATTGTGTCAAAGCCTTTGGAAACAGAAGGAAACTACTTTGTCTTCTGTAGGACTCATCCGCACTGTTTCGTTTTTCTCTCACTGATGGTCACGCTGGTTCTCATTGAAGACCCTATGGCCAGTCAAGGTAAAATTATCTAAATGGATGCTGTAAGAATGAAACTGTTGCACCTATAACACTGTAGGGAATTCTAAGTACCCAAGTGCAAGAAAAATGGGAGTTAACTACAGCAAGTTCAAAAAAATTTTTATATGTTTGAGAGAAAATCCTTAGAAGAAAGCTTAAGGAGTTGATACAAGCTTCACCAAACTACTTCATAAACTTTCATTGACTTTATAGGCTTTGAAAGAAGCACAGGAAGAGTTGTCTATGTATATTGTTTTCCTATGAAATTAAGGACACAACTATCTATAGATAATAGAAGACATAAATACCCATGGATAAAGAAATATTTATTTGGTAGAACTATAACTAGCAAATTTACTTTGGCCTTTAATTATGAGTCACTGTGTACCTTACAAACCTGTTAATTCAGGTTGTCATCTTCAAAGGACACTGCAGGAGTTCAAACCCCAGCAAGAACTGGATTATTCATATTAAACTAAGTGATTGAAATATTTTGTTGATTCGATTTCATTAGTACCAGGAAGCAGGTGAAATTCCATACAAGCATAAAATAAATTCAGGATTAAATAAATAATAGGATAAATACTGAAAATTACTGTCTAAGCATATTCTGAAAATTAGGTCAGTTAGGCTGGAAGCATATAAATGAAGTAAGCCCTTAAAGCTTGAGACATTAAGAGAAAAAGCTAGAATGTGTACTGTAGTTAGTCTTGTGTTGTTGAACAACTTGCATCTATACTAAAGTCAGTAGCTTTCTAGCTCTTTAGAAGCCTTCCAATTTGGTATAACTAAGTTGTTCATATATATTAGTGAATTTTAAACTCCAAAAATTCCTGTGAGGCTTTTATTCACAAGAAAATGAGGTACAGATTAATTGACTTAATGATAAACAGGAAATTGAAAAATGCATCTTAGAAGTACCATTGCCGTGGTTTAAGAATCAGTTCAGCAGTCCTCAAATTTTCCACTTATCATCCCCACCCCTACTGGTGTTTTGGGGCATGCAATTTTACAGATTAATGTAATAAGATCAAATAGTTGTCATGATGAAGAAGTTGCTTTGCTCAGCCAGATTCTCCAGGTTGATCTGCTTGAAAGCTGTAAAGTTCTGCTGGTTTCAGCAAAGTTATACCCAGCTGAAGACACAAAGGAGTGAGATTCTGAGCTCAATTATTAACAACAAGGAAATTAAATCTGGAAGTGTTTACCTTTAGGAAAAATATCTGGACAGTATTCAAATGAAAAGAAAAAAGACAGTCTTGGAATTCAAATGAGCATAGAAACATATATGTGTTGAAAATCACAACTTTACATAAACTCTTGCTTCCTGCTTCTGGAACTGGTAGGAAAATGCAGGTGGGTATAAAAATGTCACCACTGCCAAAACAGCTAATGTGATGTCATAGGTGGATTAGTTACTTAACCGGGCATAAAGTCATGTGAGATAGATTGAACTCTAAAATGAAGAAAAGATCTAGGTCCTACATAGGTACCACAAAAATCTGAGTCAGGGAAAAGAATGCTACAAAGGTGACTGTTGGGTAAATCTGTCTGCAAATAGAATTCCAATAAAGCTAAACATGAGGTTATTGCTTTTGAATATTCATGAGTTTGAATGCCCTTTTATTTATAATGCATATCATTTATATGATCATATGTAGCATATTTATACATCAGGCTTTGTCAATTCCTATCTGTCATGCATCACTATGCTTACAGGGCATGAAAGAAAATAAATTTTAAAGTATTACCAAACCACGGCTTACTTAGCAACACTCTCTGAATTTATTGTGGGAGATTCTAGATATTTTTTATGTTCCTGTCATTACAGAATAGAAGAAGTGCAGCAGTACTACTCATCCTCAAGTATGTGGCACCATTCGGAATCAAGACCTATAACCAAGAGGACGTATTTCTCACTGTAGTATTACACACTAGCAATACAGACCAAAACAGTTTCCAATACTAGCACAGAACTGCATAAGAACTTATATTAGAATGAATTTAAAAGAACTTCTGTTGCAGCATTAATAATGAAGGGGGCTTAGACTGGTTTTAAAACAGGAATTCTTTCTATCTAGCAGCAGAATCGTATATGGGCTTGCATAAAAGGGTGACAAACTTGTAAATGAATTTCATTGTTTACTTTAAAAGGATGGGCAAAAAATAAACAAGAAAAGTCAGAAAATAAAGAAGAGGAAGATTAATTGGAGAAATTATTGTTTCAACTAACTTTATTGCTGTGCTAGCTTTTCTGGAGACATTGCAAAATCAGCTTTTATCAGTTATGGAAAAATATCAACAAACTAGATATAATTCTAGAACTCAGGTGCTCTTTGGAAGAAGTGTGTTTGGGGGTACTGATGCTCATTTTGGGAACATCTAGAACAACGGTTTTCAAGTGGGGTGCATGAAACCCAAAGGCTGCACAAGACAATCCATTGGGGTGGAGGAGAAAAATATTTTTCATAGCACTAACAAATAAAATTACAAAAAAAAAAAAAAGAAAATACTTTAAAAATAGTGTTTCTTTCATCTTTATCTCATTCTCTTTTTAATTTCTATCATTGTGTATAACATACAGAATATGTTAGTACAGTATTAGCTGTATATAATTTATACATTAATAAATACACATATATTGGGGGTACCTGTTCAAAAATTTTTTACTGATAGGATGTACAATCAAAAAAATTTGGAGACCACCAGTCTAGGATGCTTAATGCTGAAGGTCAACAATAAAAATAGGATGCAGTCCAAAATCTGATCAAGGGTGGCTGAATAAGTGAACTTAATAACATAAAGTTTAAGAAACAAAAAACACAACAGCCCCTTAAAACATACTCAGCACAAGGACTTCTACAACAGTTAAAGTCAGACATAAAATCAACTTTATAAATACAAAAGGAAATTCAACAAAATAAAGTACATAAAGGGGAAGGTAGAAAACATAATGAAGGAAAACAAAACCAATAAATGAAATCCTAAATCAAATAAAGATAAAAAAATCTCACAGGAAAAATATGAGGAAGTAAATTATGACTAACTAAATAAAAAAAAAAAAGCAACAAAAATAGGAAAAAATTAGGAAAGAGGTAAGGAGAATAAAGATGGACAATTAGATCAGGACTGAAAGAAAAGAGGGGAGAATGGAGGATATGCTGGCCAACATTCACATCTCTCCCTCTTGCTGCATTCCAAGACTCATTGCAGTCTAAAAGGGAGTGCGAGCAACCAGGAGCGCAGCGAGCAGAGCGGGACGAGGCAGTTTGTGTGGCAGTTCGCAAGGCAGGCGAGCGGGATGGTGAGCGCTCTGTATGACCAGGGCCCGGTCCGGGAGCTCTTCTCTGGCTGCCCCGGCGGTGGCCAGCGTAGGCACCCAGACAGAGCCGGTGAGAGGGGAGGCTGCAGTGCAGAGCTCGGGGTGTAGAGAGTGCCTGCACTGGTCTCCTGAGGGGAGGGTGCACAATGGGCAGGGCTGCACTCGGTGCTCCCTGGTGGAGGTGCTCCTGCAGCAGGGGCTGAGCTGCGGGATGCTGTTAATAGGCTGCGAGATGTCAGGGAAGCTGAGAGGAAGCAGGAATGCTTGCTCCCGGCCCAAACTGTGCAGGGGCCTCGAGCTTCACCTCTACCTCATGAAGGAAAGAAGGAGGCCGTTAACCCGGGAAGCTGGGAATTAGTGACAAAAAAAAAAAAAAAAACAACAAAAAAAAAAAAAGAAAAGGAGGAAAAGGACAATCAAAAGCAAGGGACTTCCCCGTAAATCCCCTGTCCCCTCGCAGAACCGCTTTGCTGTCCTGCAGGGGGCTGATGAGGAAACACGCTCGCACCAGAAACAGCCGGCTGATGCCCTGGTAAAGAAGATCTCTACCGGTGCTGCCAGGAAAAAGCGGCGGGTTGTAGTAGCAGGGAACTCTCCTTTGAAAGGAACAGAGGCACCCGTCTGTCGGCCTGACTCCGTCTCAAGGGAGGTGCGTTGTCTACCAGCGGCATGGATCAGGGATGTGGCAGAGAGGCTGCCTGCTCTAGTAAGTCCCACTATTACCCACTTCTAGTGATCCATGTGGGTGCTAGTGATATAGATAGCAGTAGCCTGGAGAACATAAAGAAGGAGTACAGAGCCCTGGGGGAGGTGGTTAGGGGCTCTGGAGCTCAGGTGGGCTTTTCATCAATTCTCCAGGATACAGGGGAGGACCTAAGAAAAGGCTAGGATGATCAGCCAGGTTAATAAATGGTTAAAAGGATGGTGTCATAGTCAGGGGTTTGGGTGTCTTGAACATGGGACCCAAGTTTGTAGGCCAGGTCTAGTGGGGGCTGGTGGAGCTGGTCTGATAAAGAAGTGAAAGAGCAGTTTTGGTAGGAGGCTTGCCAGGCTGGTCAAGGAGGCTTTAAACTAGATATGTTGGGGGAGGGGGGCATCATTCCATTCCAACACACCCAGTCAGTGTCCAGAACCTATAATAAATGCTTGGAGCAATGTAGAGATATTCCAGCCGCTCCAGCCAATGAGCCGGCTTCAGTTGGAGCTCGGCTCAGATGCCTCTATACAAATGCCCGTAGCATGGGGAACAAACAAGAGGAATTAGAGATGTGTGCACATCTACGGAGGTATGATATAACAGGCAGCACAGAAACATAGTGGGATGGCTCCTACGACTGGAGTGTTGGAAGGGAAGGTTACAGGCTCTTTAGGAAGTACAGGCCTGGCAGGCGGGGAGGGGGAGTTGCCCTTTATGTTAGGGATAGGCTGGAGAGTATGGAACTCTGTCTGGGGACAGGTGAGCAGTCCACAGAGAGTTTCTGGGTCAGGGTTAAAGGAATTATAGCTATGGGAGACATTACTGTGGGGATCTGTTACAGACCGCCTGATCAAGGAGAACCTGCAGATGAAACACTGTATAGACAGATAGGAAAAGCCTCATGCTCAAGGGCCCTTGTTCTCATGGGGACTTCAACCACCCTGACATCTGTTGGAGGGATAGTACGGCCCGGCACAAGAA